AGAGGCTTCCACAGATGACTGGACAGTAATCCGCCAAGGAGAGCTGTCTCGTTAATAAATCTGTCCTCTGCAACGAGACTCCACTCACACAGATGTGTCAGTTCCTTTATTCGCAGGGAGCAACCTGAAAAAGATCACGGCGGCTACGCTTTCCGTGAATGGCACAGGCCGGGGTGAAGGGGCAGCGGCGAGCATCGGTGAGGAGGTGGTGTGGTGTGCCTTCTCCGTGCTGCCTAGGCAGGTCTCCCCGCAGGCATCTTCTACCTATACACTGCAAACGAAGATACAAAAGCAGGAGGCTGCCCTGTGTCATGCAAGGCTGTCAATAACATGTTTTTTAGGCCCCATTTGGCAGATTGTACTGTTGGATGTTGGCCTTTTTTTTTTTCACCTCATGCAAAAAGGGTTTCTAGATCCACTGCTGCTCACCTACTGCAAAGCTTCCCCTTGAACATCTAACTGTGAAACAGAGAATGAAAACTCAATTAAAGATGAAAGGGGCAAATTAGGCACCGTAAAGTCAAACGACACCAATTCCTTCTTTCCATCCTTCATCCAGAAAATAAGGAAGTTGGAAGTAAGCTGCAAACTGAATGAATGCCTCGTTTAACCTCACCACTGGGATACTCTACATACTACTCTGAAGTTAATAGAACACTATCAATAATTTATAGCTAACCTTTTATCCTACTATATTTTGAAATCTACTCCCTTATACTAATAAATAAACAAAGGAGAAAGGGCACTTTGTGTGGCACCTACCCTATGAGTCAGTGAATATGTACATGTGAGCAGGCAGAGGTATGGGCAGGAGCCTGCAGAAATCACAAAAAGATGACAGAAACAATGTTTACAAGTTCAAATGCCCCCAGCCGTGGAAAAGAAGCAATGGAAAAAACCACATCCATCTGGAAAAAATTAATCTGAAGAGGCTAACATTTGAAGAGCACCTATGTCAGAACCCAAAACTACAGATATTCTCTTGGTGGAGTCCAAAAGAAAATGATACCCACTCCAGTCCTGGAGGGGACCAACAATTTTTGCATATTTAGAACATTAAACCCAGGACATTCCTGGGACCAGGATCCCACCTTTGCTATTTCAATATATAATTTCTCCCTTTGCTACATTTTTTTTTCTTCTAAGAAATACAATTAAAAACCCAAACAACTTCGCTAGTGTTGCTGTACCGCAGCAGCAATACAACTCTAATTCAGTCCAGATCTGTCCCAAACACCCGATCCTCAGTGCGTGCACTGATCTTGCAAAGATGCTCTTCCTCCTCCCCTGCAGTACTATCGCTCCACTGACCACAAAGCCCCTTGCCCTGTCCCTAAGTAACACAGCTCGGCTACGTGCGGCCTTGGCTACAGAGAAGAATCCATCTGTTGTGACTTCAAAGAAGGCCAGTTGGAGCTCTGTGATTCCTAAAACCCACAAATATTCCACCTTGGTTTGCCTGATTTGTCATTAACATTTCTCATGCCTAAATTAAGCAGGACGCATAGCATCAGATGCGTGCTGACAGTGCTGCAGCCGAACAGCTTTTATAGCTTAGCCTCGTTTCCCTCCACACCTCCAAATGTTTCTTGGTTGCGCCTGTTGCATACCAACACATACCAAGCCATCACAAGCCAAATTAATATTATTAGTGTGCACTAACTATTAAGTGTTTGGTGCAAACTCCAATAAAACTAAGGAACCAAGTATTTTACCACATCTACAGGGCACTGACCTGTTTGCCCATTTTCCCTGTTCTCAAAGATCCTTCAGCCTGGTACCCAACTCTGTGATGAAGCCTGTTTAGCACCAGTGAAGTTCCCCACATTCAGACTGACAACGTTCTGAGCTGAGATGAGGGAATCAAAGTTAAAATCCAGCCCATCTGCATCCATGAGTTCACTGCGGATAATGGACTCCATGTCACACTCCAAGCTCCCATTGAAAATATCCAGGTCCAAGTCACTTGGGAATTTCTCGTGTCCCATGACCGGGAGGTTCACACTAGAGGAGTACAAAGAGGAGCCTGAGAGCGGGTCAGAAAGTGTTTGCATAGACTGATTGACAGGTGACTGCTGATGTTTGGTGGATCCCAAGCTGTTCGAGTCACTCAAGCCTATGTTACTGATGGAATTGGACAAGGCACGGCTGCCACTAAGAGAAGAGCTGTGGGACTGGTGCTGGTGATGAGGCAGGCTCTGATTGACCAGACCACCCTGGCTGGACTGTGCGGCAAACGACATCATGGGGTCGTTGCGGAGCATTATATTCCTGCGGGAATTCTGGGCAGACACAGCTGTGCTGGCTTGTGACATGAGTGGGTCAGACTGTGTCATCATGACATCGCTGTGACTAAGTGCATCAGAGGCAAGGAGATCCTGCAGCGTCTGGTTGTTGTAATGAGAAATGGAAGAGAAGGTGGCCTGCTTGTTCTCCTGAATGGTCTGCATGGGCGACTGGCGGAGGGAATTCAGGGACGACGGCCCGAACACGGCGTTGTTGAAACTACTTGATGGGGAACCCAGCCCTGAACCTTTGGAACCATACGGAAAACTGGAGCTTCTCTGCATTATCCCTCCTGTGGGTGACTGCTGGGAGGGAGGGAGTGTTATATTGTCCAAGAGATCATCCATGAGGTTATCTGTCAGTCCATCATTCAAATTCATTGTCCCAGCCATATCAGTCAACCTAGGCAACTCCACAGTACACGGTTTGTTTACCGATGGGGACAAGCTCGATGGACTACTGTACAGCATGGGAGAAAGCGGAGCGTCGTCATCTTGAACATCATCTAGTTCGGCGCTTGCCAAAATCGGTGACAAGCGGCCACTGATCGTACTGGCGTTTGAATTTGTACGGGAGCGAAAATCTGTCCATGCATCCAGCTCGTCGCTGCTGCGGGAGGTGGGGCTCCCTGGCCACTTGGAGAGCTGAGAAGGGCTGTCCTCGCTCGTCTCCTGGGCGGTCTGCAGGGCTGCCTTTTTCTTCGCTGCCCGCCCTCTGCTCTTTGTGTACTTGTTGCTGTTGTCCATCGACACAGCGCGCCTCCGGGGCGCCTTGCCGCCTTTTCCACCATCTGGATTGATCATCCACCAAGAGCTTTTCCCGGTACCTTCATTCTGCACCCTGACGAATCGGCTGTGGAGCGACAAGTTGTGCCGGATTGAATTCTGCAGGAAAGGAACAAAACAAAATGTCAAGACCAGCACTCCTCTTTTTTTGCTACCCAAATCTCAATCACAAAACCAACATCACATGAAAACAGCGACACGAATAAAAGCACTGGGCCCTCCTGGACATCAACACGGGTTTCTCGGGTGGTGGATAAGGGCAGGCTGGAGCGTGACTGCAGCACAGCAGCACGCTGCTGCAAAGCAAACCCTGTGCTTGCACTAGCTGTGCATTCCTGGTGCCCATCTTTACACCCCCAAAAACTGCATCCTAAGGAAAGGAGGGTGACACGGCTCCATTCCTGCCAGCAAGGAGTTAGACATTTCTCCCTTACTTTTGACTCAGGACAAACCTCTATACTATCAGCAATCTTGCCAGCAGTTCCTTGAAATAAAAACTGCAGAGACACTGCAAAAATCTGTCTGGAGGGGTAGTCACACTCATCACAGCCTCTGCAAATGTCTTTTTAATTTTTCATGGGCATGTGTGTTGTGTATTTGTTATAATAATTCTTGAGAAAACTGCAAGTGCTGTTGCTCCTCTCCCACAGGCACTCTGTGCATGACTAAGCTGTACTTTCTCTCTTGATTAGAGGCACCAGAATTACGCCCGTACCGCAGTAGCCGGCCAGCTGTCCCCTCGCTATAGTGTCTTCACAGTCTTCAAAACATGATGTGACACAGTAGATGGCGGTATCCCTGTCCCTGTGAAAGCTGCTAGATGCAGAGTGGTATAAAGTTGCTGTACACAGTTGGATACCCCGTGCTGTACGAGATGCTACAAAATGCAGTACTTTCAGAGGAGCCCGTGCACAGTCTGCTCTTGCATATTACCTGCTTGCACTAGTCAGCAACATCTACCGTCCAAGAACCATGTTGGTTCAAACCAATGATAATCATCCCAGAATGAGAAAGAGGCAGAGAAAACCAGCCCACGGTAGCCCTAGTGAAATGACTCCAGATTTAAACCAAAGCAACTGAGATTAAAATCCCACTCCACTCATCCTGCTGAGCTTGGGCTTAAAATACGGCTCAAAGGAAGGACAAGCGAGTAGTATTTGTTAGCGAGAATGCTTCCAGGTTTGGTTTTGTTTTTTTTTTTCCCCATGTGCAAGTCAAAAGATTTTTGGAGCTATCCCATATTCCTTTAGCAAAACAGTTGTGCTATTCCTCCAGGTTAAAGATGATCAAGTTTAAAAAGCTGCACAAGTTCTTTTGTCTTAAATTTTGGCAATTACCAGGTATATCTATAAAGAGGATAAAATCCCATTTGTTCTACCAGCATGCTTTAAAAACACAAAGTCAACAGGATCATAGCATAATCAAACCATCCAGGATAAGTGTCCTTCATTTACAAACCACGGAAGAAATTCCAGATTTAAACGGGCAAAGAATGAATCAATCAACAAATCATTCACAAGCATCTCGACATTTGCATCCTTAGGATAAATGGATGTTTGACATAAGTGAACTGGAGACACATTTCATGTATAAAGAAATACAGCCCAGCTTATTTTAAAGAATTCTTTTCAGTACAAAATGCCTTTTTTTTCCCCTGTTAAGTGTTGTGGGTTTTGTCAGATCGTGAAATGGAAAACACGCCTGAAGTTCTCGCACGCAGACAGCAGGCGCGTTTGTGATTATCACTTAATGAAAAGAGAAATCATATGGGCCACGGTTCAAAATAGCAACTGTTATGTTTTAAACAATTTGCACAAAACAGCAGACCAGACTTCGCAGACATACTCAAGAGAAGTTTGGGTCAGTGTCTCAGCTATAAACTTGTTCATTTCTAAGGAACTATCATGCCATCAAAATACGGTGGATTGAGTTGCAGCATAATAGTTCTTCAGCCTAAGGAAGGAAAGAGCTTTTTATTATTTAACTGATGACATTTTAACTATATTTTGAGTCTGGCAAGAGTCTGTTTCTAACTTCTAAAAACTAGGCGCCACTGCTTTCTTCCTCAGGTTTCTCCCAGCTGGCTGGAGAATTGCTATTTTTTTGAAAAATAACCTTTTTTGCTATTCCAGCTTGTACTGCGTCAATGCAGGTGGCTCTCACATTCATCCCCTGTGACCTTCACAGACAACCACTCGTGAGAACATCTGCGTGGGGATCTCTCCTTGCAAAGAGCCGGCAGCAGGACGAGGACAACCAGAGCCAGACCACCACACCAAGCCAGGCTACATGAGCCATAGAAACCATGCTGTTCCCCATCTAAAAATGCTGGCTATAAGCATACACAGCACCATGACTCTTTCTAATGAAAAAAATCTTAGGAAACAGAGAAAAGAAACACCCAAGGTGGCATACGCAGTGCGCCACATAGCTTCAGATATAAAAACACTCAGCCAAAGCACCAGCAGCTAACAGTTTTCAACCTATGGTGTTCTCATAAAATGGCTTACTTCTGCTGGTGGTAGCTGTAGTATGAAACTATCTGGCCCAAACCCATGAAAAATCCTAAATGGTAAAATTGTGAGACTGAGGCACCCTTCAGGATGAGGGCTCCTGCATGTGTGGATATGTGTGCGCACATGTATAATTTTCTCCTTATTACATCTTTTTGCTCAGTGTTGGTATTATACAAATAATAAAAGAATGTAATAATACTTTTGCATTTAAAATTGGTGGTTATAAAAAATCCAAGCAGTTTGTTTTCCTTTACATTATGCAATATGCCACTTACGCTCCAGCTTCTGTTTTTCTTTACTTTTCTTCTGTAGGAAGATTGTTTTCTTAAGCATAATTATGGGCCAGTTTAGTTTTCTGTACCCCATCTCCACCCTCTGTTCAACCACCGCCTTAAAACCCACTTCTTTCACGTAACCTCCCCTGCTAACCTCTTCAGCAACAGTATCTGAGTTTCATGGTTTCTCCTTGTGTTGGATGCTCTGCCAAATCAAATTAGGGCTGGATCCTATTATCCTTTCACATGCAAGTTTTGCTACAGAAGTCACCGCGATTGACAACTTGCATCAGTAAAGGCTGTTGTGCTGTGCTACCAGGCTGCAATCTGGATGGAAATAACTGTATTTTCGACCTGGTTTCTGAGCTGTCAAAGAATGTTCCCATCTGCTTAAAATATAGGAAAATATCATGGGACAATCCTTGCTCACGATCACGTGCATTAGTAATATATGACCATGTGACAAACTGCACGGAGGTGGGGAAGCAAAGAAAATATGGTTTATCATTTGAACCCGCTGCTGATCAAATTAATGGGGATTTGTCTTTGACTTATGTGGGAGACGGATTAGGCCATGATGATGGAAACATAACACATTTTTCCATGCCAAAATGCAATGCGAAACTTTAAAAGATCTATAAAGGAACTTCCATCAATCTGTCCTGGAGACCATATGTAGATGGGACAGATGCTAGCCAGGCTGCAGACACCTTGGAAAGAGCTCAGATACCACTGATGGGTACAACATACGGACCGTACAAGAGCAGAGTAGAAAAGAAATATGATGAGCTCCTCCCTTTATTAGTGTTACTATTTATACCGGACTTGAAGAACGCTGTGCGCTCTGCTAAGAGCCAGAAGACTGAGGTTCCTGCAGATAAGATCAAGAGCATCCCGTACGGCATTGAGCCCAGCCCAGCCAAGTCCTGGTTCCCCCGGGAAGTGGTCCTGCAGGGAATAATGACCAGCCCTGGAGACAAGGAAGCCCCAGGGCAGAGGAACACACCAGGCAGGTCAGATTTGGTGTGAGCAGAGGGTGGTGCAGTGCCACAGGCAAGCAGCGCCGCTACCCTACCTTGGCTTAGGCTGATGGCATCAGGAGATGGGGTGCAGCTGGGTGCCGGCTAGTAGCCAGGGCAGCAACATGTGAGGTGACAGCACTTTCCCCAAACTTGGGGCCACGGTCTCAGCTCTTAGAAATGTCGATCCACTGCACTGCGTTTGGTTCAGTTAATACTCCTCAAGGGAACCAGGCACGTTTTGCTCTCCAAGAAAAAAGAAATCGGCTACCATGTCCTAATTACACAGGTCTCTCTTGATATTTTGATAAGACTGCAAAGGGGTAAGCTCCCAGAGAGGACACTCAAACATTTCCCAAGTGCTGTATACCTGATTTGATACAAACAACTGAATGAGTCTCCCAGAAAGGCTGGGCTGCGCGTGATTTCAACACTCTGGCCTGGTCAGGCAACAGCAGCAAAATGCTCGAGCCTTTAAACAGAGAAAATTCCCCCTGTCTGTGCCTGTTTCAGCCTCTTCCAACCCGTGTTTACCTTGTGGAGCCCGTCCATTAACTCAGACACCAGCTGCAAGTACTTCCACTGCAGCACAGAGTCTTTTTTGTCTGGAAGCAACATGTGGTATCAATTTATCATCCTCAACAACGCAACAAGGAATCCACTCACTTTAAAAATAAAAAGAGAGTTGTGTAACTTAACTCTTAAAAGCCCCCGCTTTAAAAAAAAAAAAAAAAAAGCCTAAAGATTAGCAAGATGAGGTGCAGCTGGTGGCTGCCGAGTCCAAGTTACACACTGGTCTGTTTTTGTTTCAGTGTTTTGTAGTGAGTGGCTAATTCCTTATTTCAGATACTCCTAAACCGTAAAGTTATGGCTACAAATCAAAAGCGGTTGTTTATTTTAACAACGGGGATACTAGGACATGATGGGAGAAAAACAAACGCTATCTGCAGACCCATAAATGCTGCTAATGCTCAGTTGGGAGAATTATACTTTATTTTATACTGTATTAACATATTTAATGTTCTAACTTCACCATATGAAGTTGTCTGGTAGCCACACTG